ATACCATAGTTTGCTCAGCTTAAGGTGTACCCCACAGGTCAGTTCCTCTGCCTTCATGGTCACCAGTCTTGTTTTCTTCAAGCAACTGCTTGGCTTTATATTTATCACCCATAATTCTAAGGTTTAAAACAGTTACTTTGTGGTGAGTATAATTGTTCCCAAACATAGAATTATGTGTGATAACTATAAAGTGTTCAGAGTTAGAACTTATGAATTTCTAAATAAATTGCTGGGTATACTATTAGAGCCTCATTCCTGGGCATTCCACAGCAGGTATGCGCAGCAGGTAAACAGAATAAATACAACATACAACGTAGGACCGCCAGAAGCAGATAGTCCTTACCATGATAACCTTTAAGTTATCAAAGCTGTTTTTCCCCATGAGATTATCAATAACTTCTTTTTTTATATGCAACTTTTAAAAATGATTTGTTTACTTATTTATTTGAAAACAGGGTTTCTCTTTGTAGTCCTGGCCATTCTGGAGATACTTTTTCTGTAGATCAGGCTGGCCTTGAACTCAGAAATTCACCTGCCTCTGTCTCCTGAATGCTGGGATTAAAGGGAAGCAATCAATCCCTTTAATTAAAGGTATGTGCCACCCCTGGCTATTCATTTTTATTTTATGTGCATTGGTGTTTTGCCTGCCTGCATGTCTGTGTGAGGGTGTCGTATGTCCCTGGAACTGGAGTTACAGACAGTTGTAAATGTGTGTGTCCATTCATAGACAGGTGCTGGGAATGGAACCCAGGTTCTCTGGAAGAACAGCCAGTGCTCTTAACCACTGAGTCATCTCTCCAACCCCTATTAATGATTTTTCAACTCGCTAAACCCAAGAGCTTAGATGTTGGACAGCTCAACTTCTCTATGACATTTTCCTTATCGATTAGCGCTTCCTTTATGAAACTTTCATCTTCTACATCTTCCTTGACATCACTCACTCCTAATTGCCTTACTGCTCACTCTAGCCACATCTCAGCCTCCTTCCTTGACCCCTATTCATCAGCCTTACACAGGGATGCTCCCTTGGCCTCTTTTTCCTTCCAGCCTATGTTTTATCTCTGGGCAATCTTGCTGGACTTTAATTATCATTTAAATCTTAATCACTCCCCCGTCTTCTCCCCAACCTGTTTCTAAAGCTCTAGAGCCATACACTCAATTGGAGATTTCCAAATACTTAACACATCCAGGGAGACCCCCAAATACTTAATGCATCCAGAGTACCCCAGGGATACTCCACTTGCATTCTTCATCTCAGTGTAGGGAAACACCATCTTCCCTGTCATTAGATTCATATGCCTCATCTGTCTTGAATTTTGCATCAACAGACATATAATGCATGGCTCAAAGGTACTCTGGAGCGGGGTGACAGGGGTTCGAAATCTACCACTTACTAGGTGGATAATCTCCTATAAGTTGCTTATCCCCTCTGCCTTTACTCAGCGTCCAAGTGTGGATAAGGATAGAAACTACCCCTTATAGGTTCTTGTGAGGATTAGATTTGCATTTGCAAAGTGGTCAGGCCAGTGCCAGTACACAGTAAGTGCTTGCTGATACACCCACCGGTCTTGAGTTTGGCCCCACTCTAGTCCATCTCTCACCCTGCTGACAGGTTTTGAGAGGTTACCTGTTATGGGATGTTCAGTCAGGGCCCATCTTCATGCAAAGTGCTATCAGCGCAGTCTCATTTAACGCACAAATTTATTTTCTAATCTCCTTCTTAGGAATGTGGAAACTGGGGCTGTAAAGGCCAATGTACCTTGCTCAAGGCCGGTAGCTTGTAAATATGAAAGTTAGGATCTATTTCAGGTCTATCCCTAGAGTCAGTGTTGGGAATATTTATGTGCACTGCTTGCCCAGACCAGTCAGGCACTTACTAAAAATTCTTCAGACTCCATGTTGGTGTTGTGATGAGTTTCTGTCTTAGTTAGGGTTTCTATGGCTGCGAAGAGACACCATGACCATGGCAAGTCTTATAAAGGAAAGCATTTAAGTGACGTGGTGACATACAGTTCAGAGGTTCAGTCCATTATCATCACGGCATGGTAACGTGTAGGCAGACGTGGCGCTGGAGAAGTAGCTGAGAGTCCTACATCTTGCAATCAACAGGAAGTTGACTGAGACACTGGGTGGTATCCTGAGCATAGGAAACCTCAAAGCCTGCCCCCACAGTGATATATTTCCTCCAACAAGGACATATCCTTTCCAACAAAGCCACATCTCCTGATAGTGCCACTTTCTATGAGATTATGAGGGCCAATTACATTCAAACTACCACACTTTCTTTACAATCTTGTTTCAACTTAACTTCATTTTCTGAGATTTATTTCAGGTGGTCTGGACTGTCTTGCTTTTCTGTCTCCATCTCTCCTCCCTTCTCTTCATCCTTCCTTTCTCTCTCCTTCCTTCCTTCCTTCCTTCCTTCCTTCCTTCCTTCCTTCCTTCCTTCCTTCCTTCCTACCTTCCTTCCTCTTTTTTCAATGCCCAAGAGCCAGGCACTGTGCTCAATCTTAGAAGACAAAAAAAATGAGCAATTAATTCTCAAAGAGCTTGTGGTCCGATCAACTGTCAATAGCACACGGTGAATGGAGAACGACGGGACCAAGGAGGAGAGGGGACCACGCAGACGGTTCCAGCTTTTTGGAGTATATTGGGGTCAGACAACACTGAGTCACTCTTTAGCAATCCTGCCATCATGCTATATGCCCTTGAGGTATTTGAGGTGTCCCTTTTTGTTTGTCATATTATTGTCTGAGACTGGATTTCAAAATCATCTCCATGACACCATCCTTTTCTTTTTCCTCAGCTAGATATTTGCTTCCTTATCCAGCCTCACTCACAGCACAGTTCACAGTGTAGGCGATTAGTCTGTCTGTTCATCACTTGACTAGACTGTGATTTCCTTCAAGGAAAAGACAGTTTTATGCTGTTTTGAACTGTCCTTCATTCCCAAGGGACCTGACTGGAATGTTAGAATGCTCGGCAGCCTTTTGTTAGAGATTATGTTCACAAAGAGAAGTCTTGAGTAGAGGGCCCTGCTGGTTCAGAGCAGAACCACTCATGCTATCTTTAAAACATTTGGCTTTATACAGAGAGTATACTACAGAGAGTAAGTGTTCAGTTAGCGTCATTCAAGTATTTGATGAGGCATTTGTAATAGTGCTAGGGATAAAGAAATTTCACCTGGGAGTGATGGTGTGTGCCTTTAATCCCAGCACTCAGGACACAGAAGTAGGTGAGAATTTCTGTTGAGCTAGAGGCCAGCCTGGTCTACACAGAGAATTCCAAGCCAGCCAGGGCTACATGAGTCCCTGTCTCATTTTTTTTTTCTTATCGACTCGTGTGGATAAATAAAGACTGTGTCTCGCTGGGCAGTTGGGCTTTGAGTCAGCCTGGAGAAGAACTAAGAATTATTGGTTTTAGAGCTAGAATGAAGGATTTCATTTTTCCCTCAACTGGACCACAGTTCCTGAATCTTATATACAATTAAGGCATGGGCGGGCTGTGCTGTGGCAGCAGTGTACCCAGTGTATAATGTTCCCTTTTGCCTGTGTTTTCCTCCTGGCATTATACTGTTGTAAAAGAGGGGGGCAGAGGGGTACCAGGCTGAAGAGGAGTCCTACATCTCTTACTTTCTTCTCTTTGACCTTGATTATCCTTTTTTTAAAAAAATATTTTTATTATTTTTAGTTATGCGTATATGTGTGGGCTCATGCACAAGAGTGTAGGTGCTCTCGGGTGCCACAAATGTCCCTGGAGCTGGGAGTTACAGGTGGTTGTGAGCTGCTTGACCTGGATTCTGGAATCAAGTTCAGGTCTGCTTTAACTGCTAAGCCATCTCTCTAGGCCTCTGATTAACCCTTCACCAGAGGCTGAGGTTTTTGTACAGAAGTTTGCCAGAAAGACTTAGGCTTTTTTTCCACCAAGTCTCATGCCCTATCTTTCTTCTGAAGAAACATTTATAAAACCTTATTGACATGAATTAAGTGGAAGGGAAGGATAAAAAAAATCTGGTGTGTGTGTGTGTGTTGGGAAACCAATAGCAGAGATCTACATTGTCCCAGGTACAATACTTCCTAGCAATCATTTGAATCTCATCAAAATTGTGAGAGTTAAAGGACAAAGGACATATAAGGGATTTAGAACAATGCTTGGTATAGGGGCAAGGACAGACAAGCTAAAAATCTCAGCTGCTGTGTTGTCCAGGGCTCCTCCACCCAGGGTGGCTTTTGCCTCAAATAAGTTCTCTAGGGCAGTCATTCTCACACTGAATGTGGTACTTTGCTCTGGGAGTGGTGTCTTCCCAGAGGTTCAGCCTGGATACGGGACTGTCTCACCAGAGGGTGGATGCAAATAGGATTCTTTTTCCTCTCAGCGTTGTTTTCCTTCTCAACCCTTGCCCCAAGCCTCAGTCAGTTGGATCACAGACTAGTTCCAGTCCTAGTTTATATCCAGGTGTTTTGGCTTTTCTTGTAACTCCAAGACTAAATAGACAATTACATTGACAGACAGAAACAGCACAAATTTTTTGGCACTGACATTCTAAATTGAATTCAACAAGCATTTATTGAGCCCCTAGAGCATGCAAATACACTTCCTTTAAATGCATTTGGCTCTTAACTGTTTCAACTATTCAATTTGAATTAGTGCTGATTCATCTTTAAGGGTTTTATGAAGAATCAATATTAAGATGGAAAAAATATTTGCACAGTTCTCTGCAAATATAAGCGTCTTGTGTGGATTATTGTTGCTCCAGTACTAATATTAATTGAAATGACAACAGTTCTGCTTCCCAGGCAGACTGTAGAAAGCAGCTGTAGAAAACAGAAGACAGGCGGAAGAGGTCAGGGGAGGTTCCTTCACCACGTCCGGCCCAAAGGGGCGGAGCATAAAGGAAAGCCCCCGGAGGCCCCGCCCTGTACCCCGCCCCCTCCGTTCGAGCGGCGTAGGCGGTTACCATGGCGATGACGTCTAGAGGGCGGGGCGGGGCGGGGCTATGAAGAGGAGGAGGAAGATGGCGGGAGGGCGGCTCTGAGGAGACCTCGGCGGCGGCGGAGGAGGAGAGAAGCGCAGCTCCGCGCAGCGCCGGGGCCCATGTGGGGAGGAGTCGGAGTCGCAGTTGCCGCCGCCGCCGCCTGTAGCTGCCGGAGCCGGGTGGGAGTGAGGGGGACACGGCAGGATGAAGTTCGCCGAGCACCTCTCCGCGCACATCACTCCCGAGTGGAGGAAGCAGTACATCCAGTATGAGGTACCCGCGGCGGCCGGGTTTGGGGCGGGCTCGGAAGGGGCTGCCATCTCCCCAGTCGCGACCTCAGCCGCCGCCGTGAGCTCCCCGGTCGGGGCGGACTTTGACCCACTGCCGCGGGGAGCCACTGCGGCATCCCCGGCGCTTCTGGCCCCCGGCGGCCAGGCCGTCCTTCCCCTCCCCCGCAGCCCTCTGCCGCCGGGGTAACGGATATGCAGGCGGCGGCGAGAGGAAGGGCACAGCCGGACTGGGGCTGGGGAATGGTGGTGGGAGGCTGAGCCGCAGGTGTGACGGCGGCCCGGGGTCGCGGCGGTTCGGCGCCTTCTTCTCTCATTCCCCCGACCTCCGGTCCCCACCGCGGAAGATTACCCCCTCGCCAAGGTTAGGTGCTTCTCGCCGCTCCTCTCTCGCCAAGGAATCGTGCTCTTGCAAGATAAGCCCCTCCAGCGCTTGCCTTCACCAGCCCGTCGGCTTACCCCCACTTGCCCACTGTTGACAAAGGCTTTGTAACAGGATTGAAACTTGGTGAAATGTGTTTCGCCTAATGCAGTGGTTATAGTTTCCAAACGCATTGAACTAATAGTTCTGTTTTGATAAGGAGACGGTGTCTAGTCTAGTCTTTGTACTGATTGCACGAACTATACAGAGGAACCTCATCTTTGGATTTTTCACTCTTCTCAGGTTTTGGAATGGAGGGAAGAGGAAGGAGGCAAGAGGATCATTTCAAATTTCAGATTTTCTGCTAAGTTTTTAGGGAGAAAATTCACTGTATTGTAAATACTGTACCTTACTTGTGTGTTACAGGAGTCATGTTCCTCCCTTCCTCTCAGTTTCTTCTTCCACAGCTTTGGGAGGCTATTTAATAGGTAGTGTAAGGAACCTTGAGTCAGTATTGGGAACAGTAAAGGCAGTGAAATCTACTCACATATTTAGAAGGTAGGGTACCTGAAGGGTTTTGAGCTTGCAATAGGTTATTCTCAGAAGCTAGTAGCTCATCTCCTGGATAGAGAAAGACAGCTGGGTCTGTAACCTCCAGGAATTCACATCTATGGTATGAGCAGGAACAAAGAGTATAAAATCAATAGGAGCACACACACACACACACACACACACACACACACACACACACACTGGCTAGGTTTTATGATTTAAAATATTTTGGATCTCTTTTTAACTTTATATAAATTTAGTGATAGGATGTTTAGGCAACAGCAGTAAGTTCATTTATTCATGTAGCCAGTGTAAAAATTGGAGACGGGGTCGGGGGAAGGGTGTAGTTAGGTTAAACAGAATCTTGAAGATTGTAAAATAAGTTTACGTACAGTATACTGCATTTAATGCTAGAGACGAATGGCTTATTATTAATACTTTCTTGCCAGTTTGCTTGTAGGGTTCTTTTAGCTGCATTCTGTAAGAAAAGGTTCTAACAGTTCAGGCTGTAGAGTGTTGATTTAATGTTTGTAATAACATTCAGTCAGTTTTAAAACCTTGGCTAGCCTCCAGATGGTGGGTTTCATTGAAAGGAGGCCTTGGCTTTTCATCCTGCTGCTAGCACTTTCAGCACCACTGTCAGTTCTTCAGAGAGGCTAGGACCGGAGCATGCCGAAGCACATCTTATTATTATACAGTATGGAATGCTTGATTTCTGCTCAGAGTAACAGTGGTCGAATGTATCCTATGATTTGTTTGAAGTATTTCAACATTTGACTATTTTATAGAATTAACTTGGACTATCTTGGCCTGGAAGGGGAAGCATATGATTTAGTTTAAAAATGCAATTAACCCTTGGTTTGTAATGTCAGCTTTGTGGCTGGAGTAATCACAGTGACTCTGGGACGCCTCAATTTACGTAGTCTATTTGGTTAGTATTATTTCTAAATGGTTACTCTAGATTAGTCACCGAGGGACAGAATTCCTATGCCTTTGAGTGACTGCATTTTCTTTCTCAGACCAATTATAAATTACTTTTAGAAAAATTCATTTATTGTGGATAATTGAAATTTGATTCTACAGAGAGATTCCCTAGTATGCAACTTCTATTCTTGGTAGACTCATTGTTCTATAGACAAGGTGAAAAATAAGGGGCTTTTTCTTTGTAAGTTGGAACCATTAAAGACGTTTGCATCAGAGTGTAGTCTTTGTGTTGTGTATTATTTCTAAAGATTTAAAAATAGCATAAAGAGATGAGTAAGAATTGCTAAGGTCTGGGAATGTTAGGGACTTAAAAATGCCAGGGAAGAGATGGTCTCAAAAAGAAAAAGTCAGAGGAAAAAGGTATCTATAATAAAAGTTAGCTTTTGCTAAGCATTTGCTTAATTTTTTGAAATATGTGTTTTCATGTAGTTGAAAATGAAACAGTTGGCAGAACAGACACTTGAATTTGTTTTTCAAGCCCTAGTGATGAAATTTGATGCATTTCCCTTAATTCAAGCTTAGGCTGCCTTCTAGTGCCCTAGACTAACAGAAACTGTTCAGTTTCTTTGTTTTATGTCAGTTTATTAATTATTACTTGAGTTAGGTGGAGCTTTAAGATAGAAACTGAACATTTTGCTTACATCTATAATTCTATACAATATATAATTCTATATAATATTATAGATACATGGCGCATGGTAGGTGCTAGTTCTTGTGTATGTTGGCTGTGAGGCCCTGGAGAGAATGTTTTTGCTCTTCCTGCTCTCTTCTTTTCCATAAAGAAACACATAAAGGGCCAGAGCCCTTTAAGGCCCATTCTAGTTCCTAAGTGTTTGGTTTAACTTTTAATTTCCTGAATTGCTAAAATTATTGATAGTATTATGTCAACATCCTGAAAATTATTAGTCTTTAACTAAAAAATTGTGGCATTCATAGTCAGGATAAGCACAAAAGAATAGAGCAACAAGGCAAAACCATATGCAGGACTTCTAGTTGATGCTTTATGAACAGTTTTACTAAGAATAAATACAAATGAGCAGAGACTATCTTTGTTTCTAATAACCTGAGTACAAATCTCAGGGTGGAAAATGGAACATCAATAAGTGCTGGAACAATCCTTTGAATAACTTTAGAATCAATGGTTGTATATTTTAGAGGTCTGTAATAGGTTAATTGAATAGGTTAACTCAGACCAATTTCATCCAGATAGACTAGTGGGATCAGATAGTATTTTGCAGAATATTAACAAAAGAGGCCAGTATATTTGATGCCTTTGATTGCTGACATGATTTTTTTTTCTCTCTAGGGTCCTGTGCTTTGGTGTCTCAGGAACCAAGAATGACTTTTTTCAATGTATACTGTAGTAAGCATAAGATACTAAAACAGTGAGCTCTCCAAAGTTGAGGAATTAAAAGGAATTTTAAAGATTATCTACTTCCTTGCTTTTTCAGGCAAAGAAACTCGGGTCTAGAAAGGTTAAGCCATTTGGCGTCATATAAATGTGTGGACATACACATGCACACATCTGACTTGTTTCTTGAGCACTGTATGTTTCAGAATTGGGAACCAGGTCACATTAGCTGTGTGACCCTATGAAATCACTTCCTCCTTTTGAGGTTTCAGGTTGTTTATCTGTATGTGGTGTTGGAGAACTAAACTTTGATGATTTCTAAGTAAGCCTTTTATAATCCAAGCACCCATTCAAGTCTAAATTTCTGTGTTTTGTTTTGGTTTAATTATGTTTATGAAGAGAGAATTTAAGGAACTATTTTTAAATCCTAATATAAAATTAATATTAAAAAAAAACTTTTCAAAAAACTTAATGAAAAGCCAAACAGTGATGTTCGCCTTAAATTCCAGCACTTGGGAGTCAGAGGCAGGAAGATCTTTGTGAGTTGAGGCCAGCGTGGTCTACATGGTGAGTTCCAGGACAGCCAGAGCTACATAGTGAGACCCTGTCTTCGAAACAAAACAAAAACAAAAATTCTCCAAATAAATAAATACGCCAAAAAATTAATAAATTAAAAAACGTTTTTAATTGAAATTTTGTTGTGACTTGAAAACTCAGAGAAATCTTTTGTTTCCATTGCTGGGGATTGAACCCAGGGCTTTGGGCATGCTAAGCAAGTCACTCTACCACTGAACCACATCTCCAACATGAGGCTTTTATTTTCCTTAAACAGAAAGCAATGGTGATGAACTGATTTTATGTTACATGATCTGGAAAACGTACTGCCTAAACTGCACTTCCCCATTGTCAGGTGGAAGGAAGAGTTGCTGTGATGTTCTGATTTTCACTTATAGAGCCCTCCCGTGGGAAAGCTTGTGTTACAGCTTCCGTGTCTCAGGAGTATTATGTTGATTAGTTAGGGTTCACTTGCCTTGCTGGAACTTGTTTGAAATTTTCAGTTTGGCCACCCGATGGGGCACAAACCACACTTTTTCTTTACGGTACTTCTGCAAATAAAGTACAATGTAGTATATTTTAAATAATGCTTATGAATGATTGTTAGTGAGATGCCTAATTTACAAATATAATTTAAATGAGTGAATAAAAGTAGAGCAGGAAGCTATAACTGTTCTTTATTGTCTCTGTAAAGTATATTAGTGTGAGTATCCTGGTAAGATTATACTTGTCTATCCATCCCTGAGGCTGATTTTGGATCAGCTTTTGGGTGAAGGCCCAGATCATAAGAACCTAAGAATCTTATTTGACCTGGGGTGACCATGGAAAACTAGTCCTGGCATCAGTCCTCATTTGGAAAACATTTGAGAGACTGAGTTATACTAGCTGGGGGTTTCAGGTACTTTTGACTTTTAGTCCCTAAAGCATTGTACCCCAAACTCTATGGCGTGAGATAAGATATTGTTAAAACCATTAGTTTTGTCAATATTATGCATATGAGAAGGAAGAAATAACATTTTCAAATGTTAGTAAATGAATTGGTGTAGCACTCTGCCAAGGAGGCTTCCCACAAGTGTTTTAAAATTCTGAGGGAGTCAGGGTTTTCAGTGATTTGTTCACTAATTTGTTCGTTGTCAGCGGGTAGCAGTACAGTTTGCTTAGGTAAATGAATGCTGTGTAAGTT